GAGTGGATTTTCTCAAAATATTCCTCAAATTTCATTTTCTATAGTTCATGTCAACGTCTATGTTTTTGTGATGTACTGTTTGGAACCTTTGGTGTAGTAATGAATATTACTGGAGTTTTTTCCCAACACCAAATCGTTATTTTTACACCTCGACACGTGTTTCGATAAAACTGTTTTATCTTCCTCTTGAAGATGATCACTTGGTGATCGAAACACGTGTCGAGGTGTAAAAATAAGGATTTGGTGTTGGGAAAAAACTCCAGTAATATTCAGTCTATGTTTTTGAAAAGTGGATGGAAACTATTTGTGCCATAACTCAATTAAAATATTGAAAACAGATATTTTTTCAATCTTTTTTTTGAGTGGACCCACATTGTCTAGATAAATATAGACATAGCAAACATGTCATTAGCAAGTGAAAAGATTTGACGATACTTTTGAAGTATCTCAATGGTTTGTGTTGCGATTTCCATCAGTTCCATCTATCAAAATCAACACCAGTCTAACAAATTAGTAGTAATCATCCTATAGTGATACCTGCTTATATGATGGAAAGTTCACCATGAACAGTCTTTTAGAAGTTAAACTTACTTGTGACAATTTCACATTCATTAATGTGTTTCTTGCTTGGCCAATTTTTCTCAAGTCCATATCTCCTGTTGGTGTCAACATTCCTGAAAATTAAACGCGTTCAAAATTTAGTAACAACTAGTTTTAAACTTATATTAAAAAAACTTTCAATTATTTTCCTTATGAGGGGATGTTGCAAAAATCGGCAATACTGTAATGCTCAAATAACTGAGTTTTTCAAGTGGATAAGAAGATTAAAATGAAACCAACTAATCAATTTTAGATTATACTTATATTAATTGGTGTTGTAACATTTTAAATGATTACACATGCCAATATACATCAATCTTACCATTAAAAATGATTCTGAATCATTTTTTGATGCCTTGTTTACTTTCATAATATTAAAATCTATGTCTAGGGATATAATTATTTTCAATTAAATGGGAAGATATTTTTAGGAGGTATTAGTTTTTGGGACAAAGCTTTTTGGTTTTCTACTCCTACATCTTTATACAAAAAAATAAGGGAAACTCTAGAAAAAAGGAAGAAGACTGTTAAATTCTAAATGTACGTAAGTTTCTTTTAGATACAAACTAGAAGAAAGAGCCCTTTCGAAACAAGTTTCCACATTTTTCATAAAGATAGAGCAGTAGAAAGCCAAAAAGCTTTTTCCCCATTTTTCTTATCGTTTAGCAAACAGTTTACATACTTGTTGAATTCGAAAAAAGGAAGAAGACTATTAAATTCTAAACGCAAGTAAGTTTCTTTTAGATATAAACTAGAAGAAAGAGCCCTTTCGAAGAAAGTTTCCACTTTTTTTATAAAGATAGAGCAGTAGAAAGCCAAAAAGCTTTTTCCCCATATTTCTTTTCGTTTAGCCAACAGTTTACATACTTGTTGAACATCCATTATTGTATTTAACTCATACTTAGGAGCAGTAACAACACAGCACCACACATACACAGTGGTTCATTTTCCACAAGAATAGTAAGGAGTGTCTATACAGATATTTTCATTCTATATATTTCCTAATCTTACCTGGAGTCATTACTCCGGGAACCATACTGGCCAAACCAGAGTTGGGATCTAAAGATGATGTTGCCTCCCCACCTAAATTTCTTGAAAGAACACTGTCAGGAAGTGGTGTAAATTTTTCTGCCCTGGGATTTCGTTGTTTCTTGTTTCTAGCATCACCCACTTCTGGTACAGATTTCCACTCGTCTTCACTCACGGCTGCCAAATCTCTTTTAAGGTCAGAAAACTGCTGCTGAATCTTAGGCCTTTCCTGACGGTACCGTTCTAATTCTTCTCGTAGACGTTTTTCTCTATAATCTTTTCGTTTTTCATCCATTCGTTTGTCAATTGATTCATAAATCGCGTCAGCTTCTGCATCATCCTTGTCATAGGGATCTTTGGAGAACAATGATCCACCATAACCACTAAATTCGTCATAATTGGTGTCATTCAAATTTTCTTCTTCCTGATAATGTTTTGATAACTTAATAGTGCATTATTATTTAGAAATTCAGAGCTTACCTCTGTTTCTTCCTCTTCATCTTTTTTCTTGGGTCTCTTGGCAGCTGGTGGAGCATGGCGATCGTCGCTAATAAAATAAATCAATACATAATTGTTATATATCAAACAAATTTTTATTTTTTCACCTTCAATAATAATAATAATGCTTTAATTATACACCCATAACAGAAAAAGTTTTGTTTTCAGGAGAAGTAGTTTAAATAGAATCAAGATTTTCATCAGTAATATCACGAAGTACAAGAAATAGTGTCCAAGGCAGTATTAAGAAAACAAATTTCTTACTGGGAACCTGATCTTAGCGCATCCTATTTTTGGCTTTCTACTACTTCATCCTGATAAAAAGAAAAAGTGGGAATCTTCCAAAGGAAGGAAGAAAGCAATCAATTTCAAAAGCAGATTCCCACTTTTTCTTTTGTATCAAGATGGACATTAGCACTGACCCTGTTCAGGGCTCTGTAGCTTTTTGATATAAAGCTGGAATTTATTTATTGGAACTGAGCACATTCGTGAAAAAGATGATTGGATCCAAGTAGAAGTGATAAGTCATTGATAAAATCAATAAACAGGAATGGGCCAAGTTGGAGCCCTATTCCATAAACTGAATTATTTGAAACACTTATGTGCTCAGAGATTCAGAAAAATCAACAGCCCTTAGCACAACTGGTTGTAAAGAAAAATTTAGTGAAAGGTGGCATAGAATAAATCCAAAACAAGCACTTTCCCCAATTTCCCATAGTGATCAAAACATGTTTCCCCTCAAACTTATTTTGATCACTACGCTTGTCTCGTCAACAAGATCTTGACTACTGGACTACCCAAGTACCTTGCCTCAAAAATAGTTCGAATAGAAGACATTCACGAGAATAGAATATCCTTTATTCGCCATAAAAAAATACAATAGTATTTATTATAAGGTTTTGTCAAATATCATATACCATAAGAATATCATAAAAACACTAAATGAATAAATAAAAAATAAACAAATAAGGAAATGAGATGTGAACAATTTCAATATAAATGTCACTGTCTACGTAGATTGTGAATTCAAAATATTAGTTGATGTTGAAGTCAAATGATAAGAATTCGTCGATACCATAAAAAGCGGTTTCCAGGCAGATATTCTTCATATAATTTGTAAACGAGGCTGTATTCAAGTTTTTTATATCTTTTGGTAGTTTATTAAATAAAATAGGACCATAATAATTTGTCGAAAAACGGCAGTGATTTAGTCTTGTGAATTCAATTTTAATCTGTTGTGATTGTCTAGTGTTATGTGAATGAAAATCGTTTTGATTTAGATAGTGAGGATTTTTTTTACATAATTTATACACAAATAGACGTGAAGAGAAGGTAATGTAAACATTTTATTATTAATAAATGTTGTTTTAACGTCTTCTTGATAACCCAGTTTGAAGATAACTTGCAAAACTTTTCTTTGCAGTCCAAACACTCTTTTTGCATGAAGCGAGTGCCCCCAGAGTACTAGACCATAAGATATATGGGACATAAAAAGTTAATGATGAACAGTGATAATGGTTTCAATAGATGAGATGCCCATTAAACTTCTTATAATATAAATGCTCGTTGCCAATTTTTTGCAAATAAAATCTATATGTTTTTCCCAAGAGAGCTTTGGATCCAGTTGGAATCCAAGAAATTTAATCGATTCATTTTGGTCTATAGGCAGTTGTTTGTGTGTAAAAAAGTAATGTCGCGTATTCAATTTCAATTTATTATTTGTCAGCCATCTATTAGCATTCGATTCTGCTACTTTCATTTATTCAACTATAGCCTCGTAATTTGTATTTTGGAGCGTTAATGATGTGTCGTCAGCAAATTGCGTAATCTCAGAGTCATCTTCAGTTTTGAAATCAATCACATAAATCAAGTATATAATTGGTCCCGAAACCGAACCTTGATAGACTCCGTTTTTTATTTCTTTGGTATCAGATGCCTTATCATTCAAAAAAACCTATTGTCTATGTTCCGATAGATATGATCTAACAAGGTTAATTGGGTTTTCCTCAAATTTGAACAACTCCAATTTTTCAAGCAGGATTTCATGTGACACACAATTGAATGCCGCCTGAAGATCGCAGAACACTGTTCCTGTGTGGACACATTTCTGAAATCCTATGACAATTTTATCTACCAGCTGCATTACAGCGTCCGTGGTTGATTTTCCGTTCCGGAAACCATATTGGTAATCTGGAATGATGTTATGTACCTCAAGGTGTTCTACTAACTGCAATTTCAGAGCTGCTTCAAATATTTTGCCGATTACGGGAAGTATTGAGATGGGTCTCAGTTTACATAATTCTTCGGCATTTTTTTCTTTCGGTATTGGGATCACTTTAGTAATTTTAAGGCAATCAGGAAAAATTCCTGATTTTATTGCTTCGTTTATCAACTTTGTTAAGGGTGAGATTATGATATTTTTGATTATTTTTATTAAAAAGATATTTAGTTCATAATGGTCAGCACTAGTTTTATTTTTCATTTTATTTATTATATTTCTAGTTTCATTAAAGGTTACTTCCCTAAATTTAAAGTTTGGGAAACAGCTAAAATTTCCTGGCAATGGAGAGGTTACATGTGATTGGGTTTGTACTATACTGTGANTAGGGCCAATCAGCGATCATTTGAGTGCCATATGTGTACTAATAAAAAATTTAGTACAATTAAAGTAAGAAAGTTAAGAGTTGGCCAAGTGTGCATAAATTCACCATTAGAAAGATGTTTTCCATTTGATGGCATATTTATTATTGACATACTCAAGTGTATACCATACAACAATAGTTATCAAGTTAGTTTTACTGACAACATAGTTAATTTTAATTATACTCACGAAACGTCGTTAGCATCTCTTGCTGGACCAATATCAGAACGAGTTGTGAATCCTGTAGCCCTGAAATAGATAAATTATTCACACGAGAGAAGTTTCATGTTTGATTTCTGAAGCAGTCTAAAAACATACCCTCTGCCTACACCAGCAACATATCCAAGAGGAGCCGGTACTCCCAGAAAATGTTTTTTATTTCTATTCACTAAGGCTTGAGGAGGTGCAGACATATTTCAAATAGAGAATAAAAAATTAAAAGAGATTATCTGAAAAATAACAATTATGTTGAACTATTACCACGAGATTTAAATTAAATAATTATCAACAAGAAATGAAAATTAAAAATTAAAAGATTCCAAACCAAGTTATTTCACAAAGTTTCGATTATTAGTACCCACAATCGTCTTCAGGTGATAAATGTTATCACCCGATAAGATAAATAGATAAGTACTATTCTGATCATTCCCAAATTGACTTCAATTAAAGAGCTACCGTGGAAGCATTAGAAATAAATGAATTTAATGAAAACTCAGTTCCAGAACCCTTAGTGACCAACTAGAATTATGCAGCTCTCCCCTTTTGAATTTGTGAATTTTGACAACTAGTTTTGGTATTTGGAGCAATCCGGGTATTGATCATTCAAGTAATATTTTGTTATTTCAGATACCTAATGCAGGTGATAAGCATTGTAACGTAACGTATATTCAAGGACGTGTCTGTAAAAATGCCTCAGTTTACTTGTCCTATATTCCAGTACAATTTTGTGTAAAACAAGACTCTTGTCACACACACTGTAATAAAAAGTATTGATCTTAATAGCGTCAAACCTGATAACTGAGGCCAAAACTAACAAGAAGAAGAATACAGACCATAAACCATAACCAAAGAGTACACCAAGTACCCCATAACTAACAACCTTTTTAACATTCTACTACAAAGCATGTATTATTTTGTGCATTCTTCTGCCTGTTAATTTTCAAACCCAAAAAGTAAATTTAAGCAATATTCAAGTCATGGAACCAGGAAAAAAAATTTCTTTTGGCTTCAATAAAAGTATAAAAAAAGTTCCACTTATTGTGAGTGAGCCATCTGAAAAAAAAGATGTTGAGTTTATTGAATGCTTGGAAGACCAATCAATTAAAATAAAAAACGCCGTGGAAGTTGTTGATGAACCATTAGTCATTCCCATGAAAGAAAACAAAAGGAGAGATGGGATTAGAAATGTGAATGAATCCAGAGATAAGAAGGAATCTGAAGATAGCAGACCAAATTCAGAGCTAACCTTGGATGAATTGGCAGCGAGAGAATTGATAAACGATGCTAAAAGGCGTCGCTCAGAAGGAACACCTGAAAACAAAGTAAATGTTCTTCCACTGAACGACGAAGTCTTGTCTCTAGAGGGTGAAAAGGAATCTACTCTGGACGACTATGAAAATACACCTGTCAGTGATTTTGGTTTGGCAATGTTGAGGGGAATGGGATGGAAAGAAGGAATGGGAATCGGAAGAAGAGCTGTAAATATAAAAGCAGTGGATGCTCCAGAACCAAGACCGAAAGGTTTAGGTTTAGGGGCAAATAAACTAGTTAAAAGTGAACTTTCAGCTGAATCTAATTCTGGTAGAGAAAAAAGTTTAATACTCCACCAGGGGGCTTTTGCAAAAATAGTTGCTGGAAGTCATAAAGCAAATTATTGTGAAGTTCAAGGTTTTGATGATCAAGATGGGAAGGTTATAGTGAGAACATCTTTGAAAGGTGAAATTTTAACACTGAATGAATTTCTTGTGGTACCAGTTACAAAAGAGGAGTATTTGAAGTACTCCAGATTGTTGAATAAGACTAAGTATGATGAATACGTGAACAAGGAAGAGGCCAAAGTGAATAGAGGAATTGCAGTGGAACCAAGTGGCCACTATTCTAAGAAGTATGATGATCGGGATAGTGAAATTAAAAAAGAAAGAAAATATGAGGCAAGTAGTTCTTCAAGTAGCCACTATTCTAAGAAGTATGATCATCAGGAAAGTAAAATTAAAAAAGAGATAAAATGTGAGTCTCAAAGTTCGAACTCTAGGAAGCGCCATAAAAGCTCTAGGGATCACAACAATAGAAGATAATATAAAGAAGATGACCATCTGGAATTCCCCAAAATGCAAATAAATTTAAATAAGTGAATTGATTGGTTATATTAGAGTATTGAAGGAGACAAATACATGAACAAGGAAGTGTTGGAAGACAATAGAGGAATAGACGCGGGACCAAGTGGCCACTATTTTAAGAATTGTGTTGATCGGGATAGTAAAATTAAAAAAGAAATAAAATCTGAGGCTAGTAGTTTTTCAAATGGCCACTATTCTAAGAAGTATGATAATCAGGAAAGTGAAATTGAAGAAGAGATAAAATCTGAGTCTCGTAGTTCTCACTCTAAGAATATAAGAAAGGTTAGAGATGTCCAACTGGAATTCCCTAAAATGCAAATAAATTTAAATAAGTGGATTGACTGATTACATTGGAGTATTGAAGGAAACAAAAAGGAGGCGAGGATCAAAATATTTGTTGAATTTAGATATGTAAATAAATATTTATTGTACACTTGCATGTTCTCATAATATTCATATTTCAATAAACTTTTTATTTTTTCAATAAAGAGTAGGTATTAAAGATTAATCCAATGGAAGATTTATGCAATGAATCACAAGAATTCATGTTTTGTATTTGTCACTGCTATGTGCACTGCATATTTAGTAATTATAATATTTATGTTCATGCGTGGATGTCGCAATGATCTATTCTGATGAAAACACTTCGTTCACATCAGATCCTATGAACTGTCCCTAGTCATGTGTTTCATTATCGTTAGTGAAAAGCTGTGTTTAATGACGGTGTTCATGTTCTGGTATATAGGTTCCAACCTAGCGAGTAGTTGAGATATTTTTTAATGTGTCTTAAACTCAAATATAATCATCATGTGACAAAAAAAAAGAAACTGCAAACGCCTCACTTTCAATGAAATGTACACATTTGAATCAGTTTGGATATCTGAAGGCTCAATCTAACTATTGTACAAGGAATATATTCTATGATTATATTATTATTGACCTCGGCGGTTTAATATTTATACTCGCCTGAAAAGCGTGGTAACACCTAACCGTATTATTAAAACTGGTGGTGTTTTTATAATATACTGTTTCAATAATAAAAATATCAATTACTGAACAAATTTTGGAGGTGGCAAAAAAAGGATTACATGAGTCCTCAAGTTTGGCCTTGGCTACACATTGAACAGCATGCTTCTGCGATACAAACATATAACAAGATTGATACTGCCCATTCCGCAGTATAGCAGTAGACTGTTCTGCTACAGACATACAAAATTGATTTTCTACAACCTTTTTTTTTGCTTCCTGAGAGACATCTGACTTGTAGATTTCTTCCAAGTCTTTGGAAAACACTAGCCTTATGGGATTATTATGTTTTTCAGGTATTTTCATGACACCTACTTGTCTAACAATTTCGTTTCGTAGCCTTTTTTTAAAAGGACAAAACATAATTCCTTCAGGAAAATCCTTAAGGCGCTCTTAGAGTGGTGCCTGTGCGGCAAGTGAAAATTTCACAACACAGCATTACTCGAGTATTTTATAAACTTTCATCTTGTATCATCTAATTCTATCACATATAAACCGAGTTTTTGAGAGCCTGTTTACAAGTACAATAATTCTTTGATGATTTACTGGCATACTATATGTGGTGTAGCAAGAGCAAATAACGAATTCTTTCGCTTATGCTCCATTCAAATATAATAATTCCAACAGTAGTATTAATTCATTGGCTGTAAGTTTAATGCATGTTCAGAGTTTCATTAATATAACATAGTTGTACATAATTATTGTGCTAATTTGAGAAAAATCAAGCTAAGAAAATGAGCTTACCTACAAAGCAAACCATTTAATTCCTTTCTAAATTACATTTAAATGCAATTAAAAATATTAGGATAATTGTTACATATAACTATTCAATATGAGTAACAATGTTTTATTTTACTTCATGTTTTCTCATTCAAATCTTTTCATTAGAGTTATTTCCAAGGATTTTTTATAAGAATACATATAGATTATTTTTCTTTATTATAAAATTCCTATATATTCTACTGATATTTTTTACTACAAAAATTAAAGAAAAACTCAAGAATTCTACTGACATTTATTGTAAAACAATATCAAACATATAAAATTCCATGAAACACCCAAATGCACGATTGCGTCAATGACATGAGGGGGCGTGAAGTCAAAATGATTAATATGTATCTGAAGTCAAAGCTTTCAAAATACATTGAATTGAAAACAAACTTGACTTCTAATAATTGTCATTCTCATATTTTGAGAATATCATACATAGCTCAAGTAGCAACATATCACTTTACAATTAACATGCTACAAAAGTCACTTAGGAAGAACTATACTTGGGTTTTGTTTCTTGATCAGTAACACTTCGAATATAGATCACATCCTCTGGTAAAGGATTTGGTGGGTTGTCTTCTTCTAGAAAATATGAACAAGCTATAGCCAGAACTGAGCCATTGTGGCTAAAACTGAGAGAGGTAACTGAGGTATGGTATTGATGGAACTGACATAACCTCTTTTTGTTGAAACCATCCCAAATGTTCACATAACCATCTGATCCACCAGTTGCGAATGTATTATGTAATGGATGAAAACTGATTGCATTAACTGGATATATTTTTTCAAGGCCATCTTCTTTTATCCTATGACACTTAAATGCATATTTCTTTCTTTGAACTTCGGGGTTTGTATCCAAATACTCTACTGCTACCCTACCTTCAATGCTGCTAAGAACATAACCTTGCTTATTAGGGAAACATCTGATGGCTCTGGTTTGATATTTTAAATTGGATTCTCGTTTTTGTAAGGTGTAAGACATATTTCGAACATCCCATACTAATATTTTGCGACCGGCTGTTCCAACAACTAATTTTTCACCACACACACTCATAGTGTACACTCTTTCTCCTTGGTTGTAACTTCCACTGCAAACTGGGGCGCGAGGATCCCAGAGCTTGACGTGATGGTCCCAACTGCCGGTGATGATTCCATTCACCTCACTACAGTACTCAACACATTTTATAGCATTGGAATGGGTGCCTACAGTATTCTCTTTTGTAGTGTTGAAATCAAAAGTTTTTAAGGTAGAGTCTAGACCTCCACTGTATGAATGAACAGCATCGGTGAAGCAACAGTCTAGGACAGCAGTACTATGAGCATATCTATGTCTCAAATTATTAGCGGTTACATCGTACAATCTAACAAATCCATCCCAAGAGCTAACCAAAAGAAATTGATCGGTGTTAGGACCAAATTTCACTGCAGATATGGCATCTTCAGGGGCAGATTTCAACTTGTATTCTGTCTGGGATTTCATTTTACTTATACTGAAGTTCGGAGCAAATACAAATGCCTTTTTGTCAAATATTTATTATGCTTGTTATGACAGAAATTCAAACAATTAAAATAATGAGAATGATTGAATTTAAAGGTTAACAGTTTTTCTACTTCTTCTAAATGTTGATGATTTTTTGTTGGACTTCGGGCTTCTTCATATATCCAGCTCCTGCAACTGCTGACGAGGGATAGTAGATATTATTGCTTCCCCTACCTCTCTATCTTTATGTTACATGAAATGATTCAATGGTAGTGCCAGAAAGGTAGGTTTCAAAGTAATTTCAACCAAATATTTCTCTCAAGAGAATTTTCTAGTTGAAGTTACGTTGATTATGCCATGTTACACGGCCCCGCATCTGCGCACTCTGCCATCGACATCTCAGCAATATCACATCATCATATAGACACCTATGTTTTCTGATTCATGACTCNATCAGGTTCCTGGCAGCCTGCACCTTTCCAGTAACTTCTTCTAGTCGAGCACTTGCAATCCACGCAGGAGGGTGATTGGGGTTTGTTTCTCTGACAGACTTTAAGAGCAAACGGGCCTTTTTGATGTCGTTTATATCTCCTCCATATGTAGGGATCATTGATTGTAGATCGGTGAGGTAACCTTTTGGGTCAACAACTGTTTGTCCAGTAACAGAGTCCGATACCTGTGAATAACCGTGTAAATATCTTGAAATGTCACTTTTTTTATTCACTGTCAATAGTATTGAATCATTTTAAAAAATGTTGATAGATACTTTCTTTGAAACTCTTATAAAATCCAGTACAGTTCATGAACTGTTGAGTCCTCAGATGGAGTCTTTTGGTATAAAATGCAGTATTTTAAGAAGTGGGAATAGGAATACTAGATGATAAATTTGTACCGTTATTGTATCTTTATTATTACTTTGATGAATGAAAAAATAATTATACATATTCTTGTTTATGATAAATTACCATATGATTTGAACATCTACAATGTTAAATTTTCTTCAAAATACAGTAACATGGGTACACAGAACGATTAGAGTACTTTTGAAAATTTAATTTATTCATATAGTATGAATTTATACCTGACCTGTTCAGGTAGATTCATTCATTAGATAGTAGGCATACACATAGGTAATATGTCAGGGTATAAAATAGTTGTAATTTAGAAGTAACTTATTATTTTAAGCTTGAGAAAGCTATTGTATAGCGAAACACCTGTCGCAGTTTTTGTAAAACCTTTTATAGTGAAAATCATTCAATAAACTGTATTAATGAGTTTTAATATGGATTTTCATCAATTATCGGCCAGTTNNNNACTAGATAATGTTTAAAGGTGTGCATAATTTTTAAAAAGTTTACAAAATAAGTTCATGAAATTTTTATTTATTCATCACATGTGCTCCAACAAATCTATAAATATACTCAAAATGTCATGAAATTTTATTATTTGCAAAATTATTATAAATGAACACTTTAAATGTTATTTCAGGTTCAATAATAGATACTTTTTAACTCATTCAAAATAAACTTTATTGTGAGATTTTCACTAAACAGTTTTACAAAAAAGCAACACGTGTTTTTTGAATACGTTAGCTATGGATTTTCATCAAGTATCGACCAATTCCATCGTAGTTACTTTTTAGTTTTTAGACCAGCGGTACTCAACCTTTTTTCCCCTTGGGCCACATAGTCGCTACTGCTAGACCTTGCGGGCCGTAATAATAAAACTGAACTGAACAAACTACTTTCAGGTTTTGTGTTATTAGAGTTGGACGTTGTATATAAAATACAATAAAACGCAACTGTAAAAATAAATCATTTATTTAAAAATTAATGTGATGATTGACATTGATGTAAACTATTTACAATTTCTGACAAATCTGGCACATCATTGCTACATGCTACTCTCGAAACGTCGTCCAGGTGCGAATCACTTAGTCGGGATCTATAATCATTTTTCACATATTTCATTTTTGAATATGAGGATTCCCACAGATAAGTTGACGCAAACAGGGTGAGGACCAAGTCTACGCAATTTTTGAGCGTTTTGTAGTTATCCGGTACTAATTTCCAGAATTCTTCATATTTGTTTACTTCTGTTTTCTTTAAAAATCGCCTCCAGATTTGTATCATTTTTAAAATCAATTAGGTCATCCGATAACTTTGCAACATCAAATCCCAATACCGCAAGTTGTGAAGTAGTGGCTACTTCTAAGTGCCAGGGATTTTCCAATAATAGAAGACATTCCTTTATTTTTCGCAAATCCTTAAATCTTTCTTGAAATTCGTTGCTCAGGGAAACTAAGTAATTAGAAATAGTAGTATAGTTTTCTGGGTTTTACTTCGCTTGAAGACTTGAACTAAAGAGAGAGAAGAATCATGATTTTTCTTCCACGTGTTGATGAAACCGGAAATCTGGCATTCAATCTTGCCAACACCGTTTGCGAGTATTCGGACACTAGGCTTTCCAGTGTTTGACCACAGTATTCAATTTGCGTCAAAAACCCCTACACATTTTTGTGTCATTATCAGAAAATACTATTGTCAAATAATCTAAAAATATTGTATTAGCCTTCAGGCTGCAGAAAAGGCTAGAGCCGCTAGAGGGCCGCATAGAAAAGGCTGGCAGGCCGCATGCGGCCCGCAGGTTGAGTATCGCTGTTTTAGACTATTTGCATGTTGGTAGAATTGTGCAGATCACACAGCGAGTTTCAATTTGAAGACCTTTCAAAGGTTTTTCACGCCATGGTATTAGGGGTTATACAAAGAACATAAAATGGAACAAGTTAGACTACAACCACAATTGAGAATCTAGGGCAAAAATAGATGAAACCATGTACTGATAATGAAGTTATCTTTGTTGATACTAGCAGGGTTTAGCTGAAGCTATTCTTTCAGATGATCACAAGTATTACAAATTAGATATTTTACGGTTTATTTCCACTTTAGATTTTCAAAGAGTTCATCAAAGAGTTTGTAACTCTCTTAATCTCATAATTAAGTTCAGTGTGGCGAATTCACAATTCAAATGGAAAATTTAAAGACGTAAATCGGTAACTAAAGGTGCCAACAATGAATTTCCATGTTAATGGGGATCTCATCACCTCTGGAATGAGGATCTTTCTATTATTTTTTTATCAAGAACACACGATGGGTTTTGTATACATCTTGTTCATTCCATTTCTCCTCTCTTATTTCTCGTTCGAAAAATATTGTTTTTTGGAAGCAACAAAAAAAAACGAAGAAGGGAATAGAAAGAGGGAGGAAGTATACCTAGTTATCACCATTGCAACTCACTTCGTAAAGATATATACCTCATACCTAATCAATAAGTTTCATTTCTAGGACGCTCTTATGAGTTTCGAAGAGGCAAAACTTTCCAAAGCGATATCAGCACTAAAAGAAGTTGAGAAACGATGTGCCACTGAGAGCGGTTGGTTGAAGCAAGTCTCTCAAAGAGTTTTCGGATACAGTGATACAACCGCTGCAAAATCTCTAGCCGATCATCTGGAAACACAAATCATTCTAGCGGATTCTCAAGTTTGCCTAGCCATTTTGACTTTCCTTCAACAAGATATTTCTGGATATTTGAGAGGAGGGTGGGTTCTGAGGAAGGCTTGGAAGGTGTATCAGAAGGTGTACAAAGAGATTTTGAATTTGTACCGAGAAAATATAGGGGAGCTCCATTTGCCAGGTGAGCAGTGGGATTTCTAACTATTCTTGTGACATTCCTCGTCGAACTATCAACCGTCTTATGGCCATGATTGCAGAGTCGTTTGAACTATAGGCAACATTCAAATAGATTGCTCGAACAACCATAAAGATAAACAAAAATACCCATCTTTTTCTCGGCGTCGGCCAACAGATACTAGTAATATTCCGAAATAATTCATGCCAACAATGGAAGAGCGAATGTAGAGTCAATTTTGGTAATTTTTGGTTTTGTCTCAGGCAATGCGCAAACATGTATTCGAAACAAAACTTTCACGGACTTTATTACAACCGTTTTCACTCCCTAATGGAAAAACTTTTCATGATAATACAGCAGGACAAGTTTGGTGTATCAATGCTTCAGGCTCAGAATGAAAGTTTTTTTGTATGATAGCCCAATCAAGATGCAAAATTTGTACTTCCGTCTAATGTCAATCTATTTGCATCTGAAGTTGCCCTCAATGACTTGAAGTGACTCTTCTCATGTAGGTACTGGTTCTCCTGCTGTTAGGCTACTCTTCGGTTCTGTTACTTGTTTTCTGAATATGCAAATAATTTTTCACAAACTGTAATTTTTACAAGTCGATTTCATTATTGCTAATTGGTTTCATCTTCTGCATTGCTGATTTCTTGTATTTTACCTACTCGATAAATTAAGAACTGCTTCTATTTTCCTCCATTACACAAGTTTCAACTCCTGAGAGTTGTCATTCATAGGGGGGGCGACCTCTGGTTAACGGAAAAACATATTTCATCAGATTTTACTAATATCCCTTTTGAATCAATTAATTCTTGAAGACATATTAGTTTAATGCGAATAAAAAGTTGGGAATTTAATTATCAAAGGTCCGCGGTTCTGAATTTGCGTGTTATTCAGGATGATTAGGTAGTGATTATTTAAAGATAGTTCCGCTAGTACTCACTCTATAACATCAATAAATCATATCAATGTTCAATCTCTAAAAAATAAAACTCATGAAATTGATGTATGTATGATGTACTTTGAGTGAACACTGGATGCAATTAGAGGAAATCAGCTCTTTTTGAAGATTGCTGACTACAAAATTGGTACCTACTTCTGCAGATCAAAATATTCTTACGGCGGTACAATTATACTGTGCAAACCTAATATTGTTTTTGTCGAATATACTGGTCTTACGTCTTTTAGCATAAAAAGAGTCTGTGAAATTTCTGCTGTGAAAATTCTGAATAGCATCACCATTGTCACTGTATATAGACTACCTGTGGAGATATCAATATGTTTTTCAGGTAGTGACCCAGATATGGTTTTCGTACAGGTAAAACACAGAAATAGCAGTTCTTGATCTGGTAAATACTGTCCGAATGCGTAAATGGGGTCTTTGCAGGAATTATTTTCTGCGACCTCAGCAAAGCCTTTGATTGTGTTTCCTACGA